CACAAAGAGGTGTCATAATGATGCCGGAATTCACAAAAGTCCATAACTCAGGTGACAAAAATCCGATCACGTTTGATTCGTTTTATAGAGTAGCTGATTGTGAATATCACTATACTTTTAAGAGTTATATTGTGTTACTTGCACGTAACAAGTCAGTATCTTGATAGATGATTAGAAACAAGTGCCAAGTGTTATCAAAGATAGCATATGGACAAAATTTATGGTAATAATTTTAATTTTCATTGTTTGATTTGGTTTCACTTTCTAGGTAGCTTCTAATACTTACTTATTAATTTAAATGTAGTTGAAATTTGAGTTTACTGATGACTCAAATTTGAAAAAAAGTGGATCACTTATGTCGGTACTTGTTGGAGGGGCTTTAAATCATGAATCACGTGAGATTACATTAGGAAGCCTATGCCCAATCTTGCTCGTCCATGGATAAGATATAGTTATATATCGAATAAGCAATGGAAAAAGATTGTGAAAGACCGTCGTTCTGAGAGATTCAAGGTTAGTAGTAGTCATATTTATCCGATAATTTTATGCTAATGAGTTATATATATTAATCATATATATTTTTCACTATGTAAATAACATTCTAAGAGCGAAATAGGACAACAAAACAATGCAAAAAACATGTTCCCCGATAGATTGTCTCGTGGGGGTTACAAGAAACTTGAGAAAACAATAATGCTTAAAAAAAGAAACGGGAGATGATCGCATCCCATCTCCATCATCAAGACATGAGAAGTGGAAGAGGGATCGACTAAGACTAAATGGAGAATACACCTCAGATGCGTCAAGAGTAGTTACTGAGAAAATTGTAAGTATGATTTGTTTTGATTATGTTATTTGTTATTTAAATGCTTTTGTAACAATATATGTAAGTTGCCCATTTCGTGTAGGATAAGTTGGTTGAGGCGGCCCGTGAAGGCACATTTGTTCCAAAACCATGACATGATATACTAGTAGAAGCTATCAGAATATATGAGCATGGTGGGCATGTCCGTGTTGTTGGAGAAGGTGTCAGCGTGAGGTTATACTTTGTTTCTGCAAGAAAAAACACCGAAAGTGTGAAATTTCAAGCACAAAGAGAAAAGATTGAGAATGCTAAGAAGCAGTTAGAAGAACAAAGGAGGATGTTAGAAGAAAAGAAGGAATGATGGAAGAAAGATATGAAAAGTTAGAAGAGTTATATACAGTATGTGCTTTATTTGAGATGCTAGTGTTTTATCATAATTGTATGATATATATTGTGATTATTTTGTTTTATGTTCTAATTGAATATTATGATGTAGATAATAAGTAGAAACATTGAACATCGTATAAATAATGAAGATCACCATAATGTTGATGGTGATGATGACCTGTTTCCAAGTAGAAGTGTTGTACGTCGTGCTAGCACCAAAGAAAGTAATTGTTCAGCCCCTTCCCTCTCTAGAAAACCCCAATGATTTAATGCATCCTACCAAAAATGAGATCACCATGTTGTACTTGTCCATTGCGAGGATGAATGAATCACAACCTCTTGAGCTAGAACATTGTCCATCGTTACAGTTATTCTATATAATCCTGAGGATGTAAGGGATTTCTTCGTTGGATATAAGTGGTTGGACGTAGGAATATTACAAATTTGGTGCACGTAAGTATATAATTGAATATGCATGTCATTATAGAACGTTATCATTTTTTGTATTTCCTCCCTTAATTTTATAATTTTCTTTAACCATTTAGGTACATTCACCGTCTTTGTATTGAGTTAAATAAATCGAGTACTTATAGAATCTTGGATCCATTTTGGATTCGATGGGCATATAATGATCCAAAAGTCATTGAAGAGTACATGAAAAGACGATTAAATAACAGAGGAAAAGAATGTTACTTAGCACAATTTCTCAAAGAGTAAGTAATTTTGTAATTGATGTTTATATATTATATATTTAGTTTTGTTTTAGCAAATACTAATTATATATATGCTCGTGTTTATTCAATGGTCATTGGCAATTGATCATCATATCATTTAGGACAAATACAATAACTATATTATGTTCCTTATATTATAAACTCGAAAATAAAATGAAAGATATTATTAATTGGTAAGTGTATGTTTATACTTTGGAATTTAAATTAATATTTTCTTTCACACTGTAATTAGTTTATCGCATAATATGTTTAATTCATTTTGAATGTAAAGTGTTTTGCAGCAAGTGACTATCATGAACAATGTTAGAAGAAAGCTCTCATGGATCTTGCCTAATATAAGTGGCTCGATTACCTGTTTATTTCATTTACATTCATGTGTGGTTATATTCATGTAATTATTGCTTAAATTTGTAGACGAGGAAACAACCAGGGGGTTACGAGTGTGAGTATTATGTCATAAAATACATGTTAAACATTGTCCTTGCCGGCATTGTTGATTCATGGGATAAAGTATATATGTCATCAAATATTTACATATATTATATATAAGTTGATTATACAATTATTAACATGCATGATATTCATTTCCCCTCTTTTTATGTAGATATTTAACGATGAAACTCCATTCCCCGTTGAAGACTTTGTAGATCTTTGTAAATGTTGGGCGTATATCCACAATGTGCTTAAGGGTCTTGTTGTTTGATGTATAGATATATGTGCTTAAACATATTATGTGTTTGATGTAAATATTACATTTGACTTAAATATATTTTGTATTTGATACTAATATTACTTTTAACTTTTGATGTATTTGAAGTATTTGATGTATAAACTGTTCTTTATGATCTTTATGCATTGTTAATTGAAATACAAGTTATTTTAAATTCTATGATATGGTTAAAATAGATACAATTTAAAATATGAGAAATATTTAAAAATCATATATATATATATATATATATATATATATATATATATATATATATATATATATATATATATATATATATATATATTAAAACAAAGGACTTTTGATAGCCGTTATAACCACTAACCGTAGTTGTATATTGAACGCTGACCAGAATAATATAAAGGATTAAATATATTTTTGGTCCTTCTAAATATTTTATATGTAACTTTTAGTCTCTAAAATTTTTTCCTTTAAAGAATGGTCCTCCTAAAAATTTTAATTTTAACTTTTGGTCCCTCCTGCAATTTAGCGATTGTTTTTACAACTTAGTAACAAAATTAGCGACGGTTTTAGCGACGGTTTTTTATTTAGCGACTAAATTAGCAACGATTTTGGCACGAGGGACCAAAAGTTAAAATTAAAAATTTTAAGAGGACCGTTCTTTGAAGGAAATTTTTAGAGAGACTAAAAATAAATATGAGATATTTGGGAGGATCAAAATCATATTTAACCCTATATAAATTATAAAATATTGATACTGAGAATCGAACCTGGAACTTTTAGGTGTATCACAACGGTTGAGTTGACTAACTGTTGTGATATGACACACTTTCCAGTATACTACAACGGTCCTAAAACTGTGATTGTAAGTTAGCATTTACAATAACACTTTACGTCCGGACCCACGTGATTATATATGTTTTGCAACCATTGTTAAATGGGTTTTCCGTAGTAGTGAAAGATCCTAAAGTACATTATTATATAACCCATCTAAGGGAGGAAAGAAACAAATAGTACAAAGCAAAGGCCTAAAGGACAAAATTAAAAGTTTTATCTGATGGACTCGATTTAAAAGTCTTTCTTGAGGGACTCAACTCTAAAGTCTCGGTCCAAAAGGATCGCTCTGGGTGATGGAATCAAGACAGTTTTTGTCAGACACCTAAAATCTCATAGCATTCAAACTAAATCTCTTCTCCATTTACAAGACCCCGTGCTCGTTGGACTGTGTATTAGGATAATTTCATTTGGTCTTGAAGAAGATGGTCCACGAGTTTTCCGAAAGCAACATTGGACGAACATCTCAATAGCATCGTAGGTCGCTCATGATACACAATAAATCACCCAAATTAGACTTGGCCTATTTGAAGTTACTTCATAATCCACATGCTTAATGAATGTGTATAGTGACATGTCTCTATAGTAATGGGTTGAAGAAATCAGTTAAGGAGGAAAACCATATTCCGCATGATTATAGAAGAAAACATGTCCCCCTCTACTCGACGTTTCAGAGAGAAGAGTTGGGATAACCACTCCTTGATTCTCAAAGCCCAGACTAATGAGATTATATATATATATATATATGATTCTCAAAGCCCAGACTAATGAGATTATATATATATATATATATATATATATATATATGATTCTCAAAACCCAGACTAATAAGATTATATATATATATATATATATATATATATATATATATATATATATATATATATATATATATATATATATATATATATATATATATATATATATATATATATATATATATATATATATATATATATATATATATATATATATATATATATTCTTTAAAGGGATAAACTCTCTAATCTTACCCACAAAAAACTGTATACATAACCTCTCACAATCATACGTAAACTAATTTTAAACACTACATACAATCCTACACATTAAGTTCTGCTCAATATATTTTTTAGAGAGTATAAATATGTCCTCTTATATCCGACAATATATATTTTAAATAATCTAAGTATATAGTCTAAAATTAAATATCTTAATTATTTAGGAATTTTAAACATAAATTGTCTTTTATAAAAAAATAGTATTATTATAAATACATGATATTAAAGCAAGTATATATAAACTAAACTAAAATAAAAAAAATATGTTTTTTTAAAGATAATACAATTAAACTAAGGTGACATATTTTTCTTATTCTTATTAAAATATTCATAAAAAAAACATATTTTTTGAACTTCAATCACATGGTGAAATTAATTAATGAATTGAAACCAAAATTCAGGATCTGTATACTTTGCTTCCTTCTTCATCTTCATCTTCCTGAGCATTGAATTCACGATGCAGATTTGAATAAAACAGAAACTCAGAAAAAGGAACTGTGTTTGCAACAATGGCGGATCCGAAGAATGAAGGTTTCCTCACCTACGCTTATCTTCTTCTCTACATTGCTCTCTCCAGCGGTCAAATCTTCTTCAACAAAGTCAGTTATCATCATTCTTCTCGATTTTCTATGATATGCTTGTTTTCCGTTAATTCGCGCGAAATTGGAATGCTAGAAAGTATATTAACATGTTTCGAAAGAGGTTTTGTGTTGATTTGTAAGGTAGGATTCGGTTTTGTTTTTGTGAGGTTAGGTTGAATTTTGGTCAGGCTTGTGTTGTTGATTTGAATCTGATATGATGTTGAACGAATTGAGGATTTGGAAGTTGTTAGAAAGTAGTTGACCTTTTTTTTTGTTTGATTGAGATGTAAATGTTTTCTGAAATAGGATTGAGTCTAAGAGAATTGAAGTGATTAAGCGGTTTTTTGATATAATTTTATCGTTTTTTCGTGTGCGTGTGTGTGTCTATGAATGGTGGAATGCTAGGGATAAATGGTGGTAATCTATGAAGCGCGGTCACCAGAAACACTATACTGATTGATAGTGACACGTTGACATTGATAATAGTTTGAAAAAATGAATAAATGTTGGTGTCGGTTTTGGATTCTCACACTTACTCGGACACATTTTTTTAGAGGTGTCGATGTTAAAGAAGTATATTAACATGTTCCGAAAAAGGTTCCATGTTGATTTATAAGCTAGGATTCAATTTTATTTTTGTGAATTTTTGTAAGGCTTGTGTTGTTGATTGGAATCTGATATGCTGTTGAACGAAATGAGGAGTTGGAGGTTGTTAGAAGTAGTTGACTATTTTTTTGTTTGATTGTGATGTAAATGTTTTCTGCTATAGCACCGACACTACTGAAAAAAGGTGTGTTTGTGTTGGGGTCTCTGTCCAAAATCGACATCGATATTTGTGATTACTTTTAATTTATTCATTTTCTTAAATTATTACCGGTATCGACATGTCAGTGTCAATGTCGTGTTTTCGGTGTCCGTGCTTCATATGTTTCCTAAAATAGCATCGAGAGAATTGAAGTGATTATGCAGTTTTTTAATACACTTTTATTGTTTTTTTCGTGTGCGTGTATGTTTGTGGATGGTGGAATGCTAGTGGTAAATGGTGGTAATAGCTGAGTACCTTAAGTCAGTGCTTGTTGTTTTGATTTCTTACTTTGGATTTTTATGGTTTGGTTGCCTTTTAGGTGATCTTTGGAAGTATTTGATGTGATCTATTTTGCTTAAGAATTATGCTTGATTTGAGAAATGAATGACTGAGGAAAATGTGAACATGTGTTTTTGTGTATCTGATGCATTTCTTTTATTGTTTGGTTTTCTTTCAAGTGATACTTGGAAGGATTATTGTGTGCTGTCTGGTTCTAGGTGTTTGCTTGATTTGAGAAATGAGGGGAAAATGTGCACAGTCGCGTGCGTGTTGTTATGCATCTGATGGATTTTGTTTTTGTTTTTTGTTTTCAATGTTGTTGCATGCAGTGGGTTTTGTCCTCTAAGGAAATTAACTTTCCTTATCCTTTGGCGTTGACTCTACTTCACATGGTCTTCTCCTCTGTTGTGTGTTTTGTATTAACCAAAGTTCTAAAGGTATGTTTTAATGTTTGGTGATGTGCGTTACTTGATCAGGTGCTATTAAGCAACGCTGATTAATTTTCTACTTCTTGTAGGTTTTGAAGGTTGAAGAGGGAATGACTCCTGAAATGTGAGTAAATAAAGACAATTTCTATAAATTTTAGCTGATATATTTATAGGTTTTCATGTATAGATATTTTGGTTGTTTTATTTTCTCCGGCTGTTGGTCGCTGAAATGTTAAAAGTGGGATCATAAGATAATACATTTGCCAATTAAGAAAGGTTACTAACTAATAGTATGAGCTGCAAATTTCTGTGTATGGTTGTATTGTATGCCTTCATCTTTGACCCATTATCCACTTATGATACGGAATTGAAGAAAATCTAAGTCAATGAAGATGTACCCTCTTACGAGGTATAATCTGATGATCTGCAGAAAATAAATGATGATATATCCTTGCAATCTCATTTCTTAAGATTTCTTAATGAAAGCTCAAAATCTGTACCCGGTGTGAGGTGTCACATATGTCTTATTAAATACTTGAGATATAACGATGATAATTTTGGATTTCCATCAAAAAGATTATTTTTCCAGGGGTGACACCGTGACTGATTAGCTTAAGAGTTTGGTTTCCTTTGTACTAATTCAAAATGGATAGCTACACCTTTAGTATTTGTGTTGACATTTTTCAGATTAGGATTCCAGCCTTTTGTTTGATTGTTACTCTACAAGTGAATTTCCATTCAGCTGCCACGGTATGTTTTGAAAACTAACACTAGTGCTAATCAAGTAGTGAAGTGACCGGCTCCAGAAATTTCTGCATCTTTGTTTAGGCCCTTTGAATTACTTGTTATTGATATTATTATCTGTTACATGCATTGGTTTTGTAAAATGTGTTGGGCTGGTTAAATAATTGTGGATATGCACATACATCGCAGCACGAGTGTCTTTATGTGTTAATGCTCTTCTTCTTGTGATGTTAACTTACATTTATTAACATCATGACTATGTACCTTAATAGTTGATTTCATTAAGTACTTGTGATTTCTCCAAATTCCAGTTGTAATTATATCTTACATATTACAGATATGCTAGTTCAGTTGTGCCGATTGGGGCCATGTTTGCAATGACTCTTTGGCTTGGAAATACTGCCTACCTGTATATTTCCGTGGCATTTGCACAAATGCTGAAGGCAATTAGTAAGTTATTGTAATTGTGATCCTTTATTTACTTGCTAAATTGCATGCTTGGTCCCTTACACTTATTTTAGGTTTCAAGCTGGTCCCCTATGTTTAAAAAGTTTCAAGTTGATTCCTTACGCTACTGAAAGGTGTAAAAAAATTGTTAAGTTAAAAGCTGAGGGCCAAAGACTACTCGGACTAGTTCGCAAAAAGTTGCCTGGTCCATCTGCACTCACACAAATGAAGCTAGAAATTGAAAATTTTGGCCGAGAGCTCATTTGTTACAACTTACTATTTTGTAAAAGGCCAGTTCTTTAAAAAAATCTCTTTTGGAAGCTTTCATCTGTATGTTAGAGATTCTTAAAAAATGAGAATCTGAAAATAATCCAAAAAATGCTTCAAATGAGAAACTGTTTTTTTGTAACTTCTCATAAAAATCATTTTTTATATGGTTTTTGTTTTGGTAAACAAACAAAAAATTATGTTTTTTTTTACAAAAATCTCTAAGAATTAGTCTCTAAATATTGAGCATCAAAATCACTTTTCTTATAATCTGTAACAAAATAATGGAGAAGGTCGATTAAGGAGATTTGGCTGGGGAAGATTCAGAAATTACCCCCAATCCTATTTTCTATGATTTAAATTATTATAAACTGATTTGTGTTTTTTATTTATTTGAATTATCCACGTATAATGCATCTCTGTGACTGTCAGCCTCATGGAAGTTTTAAAATGAATCAACTTAACATTTGACGGAAATGATGAACTTATTCTGACATCAGTAACGTAAGGGACCAACTTGAAACTTTTTAAATGTAGGGAACCAACTTGAAACCTAAAACAAATGTAAGGACCAAACATACAATTTAGCCCTATCAATAATAGTCAGGCATATTTAGCATTTTCTTCTATCTAGTTATCAACCAATGGTAAACTTAATGGCTAAATGTGTATTGTGACATTTAAAAAAATCAGATTTGTTGGTTTATCAACTTGCCCTAGCTGAGTACAGTTTATGATGATTGTATATTTGTATGCGGTACTTTTCCTCCAATACTGCAACTAACTGCACATTCTCTCTCGTTCTTTGAATGCAAATCACAGTGCCTGTGGCTGTTTTTGTGCTTGGAGTAGCTGTGGGACTCGAGGTGATGAGCTGCAAAATGCTTTTGATCATGTCATTGATTAGTTTTGGTGTTCTAGTAGCTTCATATGGTGAGATAAATATAAACTGGGTTGGAGTAGTTTACCAAATGGGAGGTGTTGTTGGTGAAGCGCTAAGACTTATCTTCATGGAAATTTTTGTTAAGAGGAAAGGTCTTAAGTTGAATCCTATATCTGTGATGTATTATGTTAGTCCCTGCAGGCAAGTGTTCTTTTTATAATTCTACTTATTGCTTAAGTTTTAAATGACTTGTGTGTAAACTGATGGCTTGAAAATAATTTTGAATTTTTCTGCAGTGCACTCTGCTTATTCCTCCCATGGATATTTTTAGAGAGATCAAAGATGGACGACCATGGAACATGGAACTTCCCTCCTGTTCTGCTTATCCTCAATTGCCTTTGTACATTTGCTTTAAACTTGTCCGTTTTCCTTGTGATTACACATACGAGTGCTTTAACCATTCGTGTTGCTGGAGTTGTTAAGGATTGGGTGGTTGTTTTACTCTCTGCTGCTCTGTTTGCCGACACAAAGTTAACGACCATCAATTTGTTTGGTTATGGAATCGGTAAGTATCTCATAATGCTTGACTAAATTTTCCTTTCTCATTTGATAATCCCTTGAGGATTTTTCATAACATTTCTCTCAAATGCTTTAGTGTACTCAAAGGTATTCCACAATTCAGAAAAATTGGGCTGTCCAGTACTAGGTGTTTCCTGTGAGTGCGACTAATCGTTGTTGTAAATATTCATTCAGCCATTGCAGGTGTAGCAGCATATAATAATTTCAAGTTGAAAAAGGAAGCTTCTCGAGACCCATTAGAAGCTCCCGCGGCTGAAGAACCTCCCCAAAGGCAGGAGTCTCGGCCTTTAATAAGTAGATAGTAGCAGTCTGAATTACTCAATGTATGTATATAATATATTTGAATTTATCTCTTTCTTCCCACACTCTTGCTTCTTTATATAGTGTGATTCTTTTTATCTCTTCCAGCTGCCCATGCCCTATGGGAACATATAGTAGATAGCAACACAGTTCTCAGATAGTGTAACAAGAAGGCATCAAATGTTCATGTAGTGGATACGTATACATTCTTATAAACCATTTCAGTCGGGAAAGTAATGTGCTGAATCAAGTGTAATATGTGTAGATGTAATACACAAACTTTATCCTTTCAAATACAGGTGCTGAGCCATGACATTTGAATTTTGAGGACTCTGAAGTTATCCAGTGATATTTTTTTGAAGCTATTAACAGTTTCAATCTTAGTGATTCATAATTTCAATTTGATGATCAAGATTATGAGTCCTGGCATGTATACCATTTATTATGTTGGACCTTGGTCTGGTAGCCAGGGGTATATATACTGCATTCAGGCACAGATAAATCTTTGTAAGATTATTTTGTTTTTTTAATGTATTTTCATAGTGTTTGGTTCAGTGCTCGGAATCTTTGCTCTGTCAATTTTTTTTTTGATCTAGTTGCTTTCAATGTTTCTTACTAGTCCATTATTGATAAAAAAAGTTCGAACCGAATGATTCATCGTATTCCTATATTACATGTATTTGAAGCATGCTTGTGTTTTGGTATCACTGTTTGATAATTTTTTTGTCTATATAATTTACTGTATTTTGTAACTGTATTTTCAACTAGTGTACAGTAAAGACTCTAGAATTTGTATCCACAATCTTTAGCTATTATTTACGCCTAAAAATAATTATGTGTCAATTAATATTGGCAGATATATGGTTTAAGGATTAGTCGAACGTTATTCAGTCAAGTCAGAATTAGGTGAGTGAAATTGCAGTCAAACAAGGTAGAGTTAAATCTTTGCCAATTTTATTTGGGTCCACGAGTTGTGTTGTGTGAGACGCAAGGCAAAATTAAAGTAAGGCAATTTCTCATTGCATCCTTGTACTATGGGGTGTATCTCTAAAAATTTCAAAATACTCTTGAATGAATTCGGAGATACATCTTCTAATATATTAAATATTATTTTTTTGTTTAAATTTAGTTCGGAGATGTATCTCCGAATAAATTCAATAGTAAATTTGCAGATACATCTCCGTAGTCACCTTTTTATTGAGAGAATTTTTTTAATCAATCAGTGATATTTTCGGAGATGTATATCTGAAAAGGTTCAGCGGAAACTTGAACATATGACCACCTTGCATGATCATCTTCTTCGCTCTTCAAACTCTTCAAACTCCTCCATAACCAAAAAAACCCTTAAAAAATTTCATTATCAATCAACTTTTCGATTTCAAACCAGATTTCTTGTATTTTATCACATCAAAGGGAGCATAATAAAGTGCAATTTAAGATAAGGTTTCCTCATTTCATCCCTCATTACTTGCATTGATCTTGAATTTGAGCTGGAAAATGTTCGCCTAGTCTGAATATACATATCCGAACTCACTTATAATATTTCAGATATGTATATCTTAATTAATCTGTTAGTGGTTTTTACGCATTTTCCTATTTTGGTTCCTATTAGATATGGTTCACCCGAATATGTTTTTCAATGTTGATGTATGTAAAGATGTAAAACAGGATCAAGCGAGGGATAATGTTAAACCAGATGAAGAGAAGCATGGTGTTAAACTAAAGAAAATGAAGGATGATGTTAAACCGATAGAGATAGACGTTGGTCAACGTTTCATAAATGAACAACTGTATACTGCTCACAAACATATGCTTCAATGAGTTTGCATGGTAGCTAGGAATTTGGGGTTTAACATTGTAATTGAAAGGTTAGACAATGGTTCAAATAGAAGACAAGCATTTGTAACCATGAGATGCGAGAGAAGTGGCACATATGTTCTCCTGATTTGAAAGTTGAAACGCGATGACACTCGAACGAGAAAGTGTGGTTGTACGTTTAAATTGCTTGAATATTGTAGCGTGGATGAGATGTGGAAATTTTGTGTGCTTTATAGAATACATAACCATGTCTTGCAAACAAAGCTAGTCGGTCATCTCATCGTATGTCGTCTTAAATCGGAGGAGAAGAAAATTGTTTCGAACATGACTTTAATCAGAGTGGCACCGAAAAACATACTTACTGATTTGAAACAGAAACACCCAAAAAGTGTTCAAATATCAAACAAGTATACAATCAGCGTCATCGAAACAACATGGCGATAAGGGATCCGAGATCTGAAATGCAACAACTTTTGAAACTTTTGGATGAAAACCACTATGTTTTTAGGTACGTTGTATGTGATGATAAAGTCAATGTTCGTGATATATTCTGGACTCATCCCGAAAGTATCAAGTTATTCAACACATTTTCTACTGTATTTGTTATCGATGCAACGTGTAAGACCAACAAGTATAGGTTTCCTCTTCTTGAAATTGTTGGTGTTACTTCTACGAAGAAGACTTTTTCAGTGGGATTTACATTTTTGAAATCCGAAAAAGAGGTCAACGTTACATGGGCCTTGGAAGTGTGCAAGACTTTGTTAAATGACCAAAAAATGTCCTGAAGATAATTGTCACCGATCGAGACACCACACTAATGAATTCAGTTGCGAAGGTGTTTCCTACATCCTATGCATTACTTTATCAATATTACATTACATAAGATGTAAGGAGTCGGATAAAATCCATGGTAGGCACCAAACAAATCAAGGGCGAAGATGAAAAAATGGTCAAACCAAGTGTGGTGGTGGAAAAGATTATGGAGGCATGTACTGGTATATTAAGTTCATCCCAAGAAGAATTGTATGTTGCCTCTGTAATGCAATTTAGGAGCATGTGTGTCTGATATCCATATTTTTTTTAAATACATTGAGAGTACTATTCTGGACCAAGTGAAGGAGAAAACTGGTTGTGCATGGACCGATCAGGTTAGACAACCTCGACAATACAACAACTAATAGTGTCGAATTAACACATTCGACATTGAAGAAATGGTTCGGTGATAGTAAGGGTGATTTTTGTAGAGATGGAGACGGGGTGAGCTAAATGCTCCAAAATCAACATTCAGAAATACAAACCACTTTTGGTCAAAGCATAATGGTGCAAGAACATATATTCAAAGACAACATTCTCTATTCATAATTTGTTGGATATGAAGGCACATGACACCATAAAATTTCACATCAAAGAGCAGTTGAGGAAGATTGCATATCTGGAAACCATAGATTTGAAACCTCCTTCGCAATCGGTTAAAACCAAAGCGTCCCTAAAAAGGTAAAATCGATTCAAGGTGACAATACAACAAAGAGGTCTCTATCATACTTTGAACATGTTGATTCATATTTTCTGGATTATCCAACTCCTAAATCTCAAAAAAGTGTTCAAAAGGGCGATTGCATTAGCAAACTACCTACACCACCAGTGTCACCACCTCTTTCACCACTAATGCCCGAGATTGAATTCTTTGATGAAATGCCGCTTTTTATGCACAAACATATTGAGTGGATTGTGAATGTTGGGGATTATGGTAATTGCGGTTTTTGGGTTGTATCTGGATTGCTCGGTAAAGGAGAGAAAGATCATCAACTTATTCGAGCATCACTTTTGAAAGAGTTGAAGATGCATAGGAAATTCTACACGAAGTTATACAGAACAATTTTTTTTTTGATTCAATTCAAGATGCACTTATTCCTTGTGTTAGAGGTAACACGTCGTTGTCAAAATGGACGTGCTTCCCTGAAATGGGCCACCTTATAGCAAGTGCATTTGATAGAGTGTGTATCGATCTAATAAGATATGGATTCTCGGAGACAATTTTTCCATTACAAGTGATCCACCTAAAAATCCTTCCGGACGCATCATGTGCATAGGGTTTCTTTCAAAATCGCTACATTTTATTCAGGTTTATTTGAAACCTAGGTGTCCAATTCCAGCTACATTGATGGAGTGTATGACACATTCAACAAATGAGGTAGAAACTTGGCCGGATCAATTTATGGAGATGATGATATAGTTCACAAAATTGATGGAGCTTGAAAGAGAATCAATTAAGGAAGCGTCGAAGGCAGAACCAATTGTAGATTTATGCGGTATTAGATATTTTGATGCATTTTAGATTTTAATCGATATACTTTTTGTATGTATTATCGACATCGATGTAATCTTGATACAATTTAATTCATATTAATTTTTTGGTTTGTTTTTGGTTTTGTTTACAAAGTTTCATGTTTTTTTTCTGGTTCAGTTAAGTTTTCAAATATATATCATAATTAACCTTATTCAAATTTTCGGATATGCATCTCCGAAGTTACCCTTTTTGAAATAAAAGATATGGTGTATACAGAGATATATTTCTGAAATGTTACCTGATACAAGATAAGATTCTTGAGGTCCAAAGTGATTCAATACTTGTATAAATAGGGTGTGTCTCAACCCTTATTTGCTACATAACACACTAAAACCAGAGAATACATTTTTATCCCCACCTTGCATTTGTATATTTCATTGACGAGACGCCATCACTTTTGTTTCGAGTCACTGAGGAAACATCCCTCGCAGATCTGATATCCAAACTGAATACTCTACTACACTTTCTAGAAAATCACAGAGTTGTCAAATTCGAGTATCAGTCACCCTCGTTTGACAACGAAAGAAAGATCCATTTCACCAACTTTGAACTAAATAAAGATGAAGATTTAAAGGTTATGTGGATTGTTTTTCTCTATTATGAATCAAAAGGTCCAATTGAAATGGATGCGAAGATTCAAAGATCCGTCGAGGATATAATCATTATTTTGCAACGTCCTGATGAAAATAATATATAATATTGAATTTATTTTAATGACTATTGTAATACCCCGATTTTATTTATTAATTATGATTAATTATTATTTGGTTTGATAATTATTTAATTATTTGATTTTGTGTGATTATGTGAAAAATTGATTTAATTGGAATATGTGTG